CAAATTTCCTATGGATACCATGGGTATGCCTACACTCTTTCTGCTGCAATTGCTTTCCTTTTCCCAAAACACCAAACCCCTCATTGCCGAAGGAGGCTAGAGTGCAGCAAACTCAGCACAAGTGGATTACCGGTGTATCTTCCCCCTAGAAGACTTCCTCATTTTGAATTGTTCTATACAGTATTAATTAATTAACAACATTGAATTTTGGCTAAAAATATCATTTAGTTGTAAATAGCTAGGTTTCTTTCAGGGGTGGGGTGCTTGTAGAGGACTGAGGAACTAAACTATATGTTGCCGACTAAGCAAATGACCTGTGAACCAGGAGACCCCACCACCACCACTTCAACCCCTGGCAAAACTGATCCTGATCAGACTCTCCCCAATTGTCAGGACTCTCAGATCATTATATATTAAGCACTTCAGTTCAAACATTCTGAACTGCTGTGGCTGTCGTCACTTTAAAGTACGAAGCTGATCCCAGCCACAACTTCTCAAAATGCACATCAAGACAAAACTACAAACGGGCCTGGCTGTTCTCCCAAACCTCATTTTGAAGTTCTCTCTTTTAAAAGTGCAGTCAGCCCAACAAAAATACGCCATCACTCATATTGTTTTCTCCGTCATAGGCAGGAGATACTAGAAAGGGTTACAAGACCATTGTTAAGCTTGTAGTAAATTGTGTTTGCGGCACAGAGGGAATAGCTTGGCTCACATTCTCCGGTTGCAACTGTAGTGGAGAAGGAGGAGGCCAACAAAAATCGATAAGTTCAGTGTAAGCAAAGTCAGAACAACCTTTAAAATAATAAGACAAATCAATTTATTTCACAAATGTCTTCATTTCCAAATGCCATTGTTTTGGTGTTCTCCGCTGTCATTGCTCATGACATTTGAGAAAACTGGGCTCTTAATCATTTCGGTGCAGAGGGAGTTATCATGTAAACAGCCAGGCTCAAAGATTATGTGCTCACCCAAAGATATCCTGTAACAACCGAGTCCTGGGGGAGCAGGAGGGCGGAAAGGGACACGGTGGGGGCTGGGGAGAGAAACTGGGGTGGAAGGGAGTTTAAAAATATGGACAGAAGAAAAAGACCCTACTTTATGGCTATATACAATGAAAAGTAATTACAGAGAAAAATGAAAGCTGGGGCTTGCTGTTAGCGAAGGAGGAGGAGGAGGAGAAGGGAATTCTGATCTTTTTTTAAGCTCAGAGTCCATTTTGATATAATTGGTTCCAGAATTATTTATGACATTAATTGCTGCATTATCGACTACCTGTCAGCGGCTCTGGCAGTTAGTCCATCTTTCTTAGCGCAGAAAGCCAGCTCAGCCCAAACGAGACTGACAAGCTAATTATACCCATCTCCCCTTCAATGACAAATGCTGCTCATCGGAAGCCTTTTCTAGAAATAAGCTTTCATTCTTTCCCCCTTTTTCCCTGAGCCAGACACAGCCGATATCTCAAGGTACAGATCACAGCTAAAACTCCGCTCACCAGGGCTATTAGCTCTGAACATCTCACTTGAGCCAAAAAAACCCTAAGCATCTTATGTTATCAAACTGTATGTCATTCCCTGATACTAGTTTTCAGTGAATGTGCACTGGGCCATGCACGTCACTCAAAGCGGTGGCAGAAAGAGCAGACCTGACTGAATTAGCCGGCCCCATCTTTAGCAACACAGCCAGGATGCTGACAGCAATTCCGGGACTTGGCACCCAGGCTTTTGCATCTGATGCAGTTAAGCATCCAGAATCAATAGTGTTGTGGTTTTGTGTTGTGGCTCCTGCTGAGCAAAGACATGGAGGTGGAGGACTGGTGTGGGGGAAGGGGGCAATGCTGGGTAGATGCACGATGTCTAGTTGGCATGAGACAGCTGGGATACCTGACAGGTGAAGGGCTGTATTAAAAGCTAGGCGTCTTGAAGCAGAATGCCCAGAAACAGCCCTACGGGTGTTGCCATTTTCAGTGGAATCCTAACATGTCTTCTGCCTGCCTGTAGTCCCTCAGTAGAGAGGCACCTCTTCAGTGACCCATCTGTCCATGTGGTTTGTCAGTCTTCTGTCAGACCCTTGCAGTACACACACACACACACACACACACACACACACACACACACAGAAACACACACACTGTACCCCCACATTCTCTTGCTCCTTGCCCAGTTCCCCAACCGATCTCAGTAGGAGGACCTGTGATAGGTGAGCATCTACCCTGATATATGACCACAGGTTTTGATGTTCACCCTAACCCAGGGGTCAGCAACCTTTTTTAGTCATGGACCAGTCCACTGTCCCTCAGACCATGTGGTGGGCCAGACTATATTTTGGGGGGCGCGGGGAAATGAACGAACTTTTATGCCCCACAAATAACCCAAAGATGCATTTTAAATAAAAGCACACATTCTACTCATGTAAAAACACACTGATTCCCAGACTGTCCGCAGGCCGGATTGAGAAGGCGATTGGGCTGCATCCAGCCCACAGGCCTTAGGTTGCCTACCCCTGCCCTAACCCTATTCAGGAGCTTGCCAGAATGTATTTGCGCTAAAAATGGGGAGAAGGCAAGGGTGCGTACACACAAAAACTACCCTCAATCTTCCAGGGTAACAAAGGCCCCTTGTGCACCAGAAGCCAACTACACAAAGTACGCATCTCGGGTTCCTCTTTGGCAGGGGCAGTTATACATGTGACACTCCCAAACCCCGGTTGCCTTTCTGTCTTTGTAGCTGTTATTGTTTATCAAGCTTATTTTCTTATGAATCCAGGGTTTGTGGGATCAAAAGGAGAAAGAGTTGACCACCCTGGCCTCCACTCCACTGCTGAATTCACCCTGCCTGTCTGCTTAACTTCAGTTTATCTTGACACATCTCCACTGGCACTGAGGTGCTTCATCAGCTGGGTGCTTCGTCTCCCTCTTGTAATCCAGGAATTGTTACGTCACTCATAACTGAAAGTGATTGGCTACATACTGTGATTGGTCACTACAAGATCCATGAATGGCTGGAATCATCCATGTCAGGGGTCTGCAACCCACGACTCCGGAGCCGCATGTGGCTCTTTTACACCTTTGCCGCGGCTCTGGGGCGGATACTAGCGAGGGGAGGAGGCGCATTGTGCGCCCCGACACTCCCCACTGTGGCGGGCGCTGTACTTGCTGTGACGTCACATGGGGGCGGTGCGTGCGTTAGTCACGCACTGTCCCGACGCCAGCTTCCCGCCCGCTGTCAGATCGTGGCTCCGGAGATATATTTGTTTTAAATGTCGCAATGGTTTTGCGGCTCCCAGTTGTTTTTTTCTTCAGAAACGGGTCCAAGTGGCTCTTTTTGTCTTAAAGGTTGCAGACCCCTGGCCCATGTGAATAAGAAAAGTAGCAGCCATTGGAGAAATTGTGGGAAAATGTGATGCCAAACAGGGTGGGTGTGGGTGTGGGTGTGGGTGTGGGTGTGGTGTGGGTGTGGGAGAGAGAGAGAGAGAGAGAGAGAGAGAGAGAGAGAGACCCCAAAAGTATTTTCCAGGAAGGAGAGGAATCTATCTCCATCTATTTATTTATTTTTTAGGTAGCTTCAATCTATGGTTTATGCATTTTAAGAATATTTTTGCATTTGTTATTTTCAATGACAAATGGACTTGGAACTGTGTTGAACAGGCCCCTCTCTCTTTGGTTAGTTGATAAGGTGCAAGAGGAGTAAACAGAATTGAAGCTTGGCACATTTTACACTTTTATCAACGTAAATGCCGGGGGGAGGGGAAACCTAGCACATAAATTGAGTCTGAAGCTTTTACAAATTGGCTATTTAAACCACTCCACACCTATAAATTGTACAGTGCTGGAGGCCATCTTTCTATGGCTATTGTTCTTCATGAAGCAAGACAACAAAACCTGGCAGGAGAGAACTAAACCCCCATTATATTGGAAAATGTATTAAACTGAATATTAAAATATTGCGAGGAGACAGAGGAGCAGGACCAAAAAAAACCCCACAGTAAAAACAGAGGAGACTGCAAGATACAAAGATGATTTTGATTTGCATACAAGCTAAACCCATGGATATGGTGCATTTTCAGAAACTCTTCAAAACAGCAATAAAAACACACAGCATACCTATAGACCTATCATAGTCTATTATAATCATCCAGGTTAGGACAAACAATGAGGATCAGGAAAGAGGCATAAAGAGAAGTCAGGGCTTTGAACACATCTACAAAGCAAAGCTAGACACATTGCTTACCTGGTCATGTAGGCCTTTAGACTGCCCCATTACTGGCTAAAAACCCCAAAGTTGATCAGTAAGAGATTGTACACAGACATGAAAGAGACTAAATGGGGAGCCATTTAAAGCAGCCGTTTTCATCCACTGCCTCTCAACCAATCAAAGATCAGGTGGGTGGAAGGCCTAAAATTGAGTGCTGCTGGGGAAACTCAAAACAGGCTGATTTGGGGCCTTGTGCAGCTGTGCAGATTCATGTGGCAAAAAACAGCCCAAGGCGCCTTGGACGTCGAACAGCGGCAGCCTACATAAAACTACAAACTTTCCCCAAATTACTTTGCTGTTTTCTAACTTTGGTAGACAAATTATGTATACCTCAATATTTTATTGGTCTGAAGCCTCAGAGATTTGTTAAAATGAGCCTGTTCCATCATCCGATATTGCAGCGCCCTGAGAATAATGCACATTTGGCTGTTAGTTACCGATACAGCCCAAGTATAATTTAGCATTTGTCTAACCTCTTCAGAAGGAAAATATTGTTCTCATTAATTTACATTAGCAGCTGAAGAGAGTAGGGAAGGGGTTGGTATCCCTAGTGCTCTAGAATGTGCTGGAGAGAGGTTTGCAAGAGAGATTCTTGACTCTCTCGTAGTTAGCACAATGAGCCAAGCACATTAAAATTTGGTTAGATTTTGCATGTGACCCCCATGGCCACCTTTAAACCAACTTCCTCCACAAAAAACCACTTAGGCTAGAGTAAATCGCAGATACCAAAATGTAGATCTTACTCACAGAGTTTCAGGCGTTTCAGCAAACAAGTATCCATCTGTTGGCAGTAAAATAAAGAAAGTGGTTCCAAACGACTTGAAAAGGAAGAGCTTTGCTTCCTTACTAAAGAACCGGGCCATAAAAATCTCCTTTTGGAGAGATTTCTCACTCACCTGCTTTTCCTCACAGGTGGGAGCCTTTAATTGGCTGCAGCTTCTTTGAGGAAGCAGAGGGAAAGAGAGGGAGCAAAGGCTTCTGGGAAATTGCTAAATCCCACCCACAGTAACTTGAGGGAGGGGCTCAGATTAACCCTTTGATGCACGCAAGTGTGAGTCAGCAACTGTATATTACCAGCAGGAATGTTTTTGGGAAACCGATTTGCACGTCACAGCTGAGTTAAAACTGCTCACAGTTGTTTGCAAACATTTTTTGCCGGTGCTGAACAACCCATTTCAGTGATTTAGGTGCTCATTGAGAAAATAATAAATTATTTCTGATGCCCTCATTTGCCCATAGTAAAATCGCCATGAATCTGATTGGCTAGGTCCTTTTTTTGGTACAATGAGCTCCACAACCTATGTACATTTATCTTATGTGTATTCAGCTTTATGTATGTGGCTTTAAAAAACAAAACCAAAAAAACTAATAAAAGGGCAGAAAGGGAACGGGGTTCTGGGAAAGATGACTCTGGCAATTGCGCTCACCATTGAACCCAGTGTGTTTTGACTATACGTGATTTTGGCTTTAGGCGCAATCCCTGGAACGTAAACCCCACATAAATTGTGGGCTTATTGTATTCCATTCACTGGGTGACCCCTGATTGAGTGGGACCATCTGTGAGTCTCATCCAGGAAAGCAGCAGCAGCAGCCACCAGGACAAAAATGACCCCGTACCCAAATATAATAATGGGTTGTATCCAATGTGAGTCACACTCAGAGTAAATGCTACAATTCCCAGCACTTTTAAAAAACTATAGCTACCGAGTTTCTCCATAACAGTTAAAGTGGTATAAGAGTGTTTTAAATGTTTGGTGTGGATATGACCTAAGGGTCCATATTTAGTGTTTGCTCCTTTGATAGTCTTTGAAAGATATATGATGATATGACAACAATATGCTGAATGTGATTAGGCAATCCTGAACATCGTAGTATTAGGTATTGATATGGATAGTATTGATACCAGTGCTCTTTTTCTAGAAAAAGAGGTGCCAGAACTCACCACGAATGCCTCTCTTGTTCTCTTATAATGGCAATGGCACCCACCTGAGAGGTGATGGAACTGAGTTCCGGAGAGTTCCGGCTGGGGACAAAAAAGCCCTGATTTATCCTATTAGTGAAAGCTGAGCAAGAGAGATGCTGGCAAGAGGTCCAGTGTTTATCAGCAAGATGACTGTATCCTGGATTTAAGAACATAGGAAGATTGATCAGAACAAAAGGCCTTTATTGTCCAGAATCCTTTCCCACAATGGCCAACCAGATGTCTATGGGCTTCCCATAAGTAGGAGCTGAGCACAGCAACTCTCTCTTCACTTGTGATTCCCAGCAACTGTTATTAAGAGGAGAGCTGCTCTCGTAATGGGGACGGGACATTTCTGCAGCAGGGTCTTTGCTCCTACATAGCAATTTCCCTACTTTTGCAGACATTTGGAGGGACAGTATTATGAAGGGATGAAGTTGAATAGGTACTGAACTGGTTTTGACATTTGAAATTGTTCATAAAAATGTGTGAGTGGCTTCAGCTCAGCCCTGTCAAAAAATGTTGAACTACTTTAGAAATGTCTGCATGTACTTCACCTCCAAATTTGTCTCAAAATTCAGCTGTAATTCAGTTATCAGGCAGAGTCTGTTATTCTGAGGTGTGGTTTTTGTTCACAAGCGTAAGAAAGAAACCCTACCTGGGGAAATAAGGTGAGGAAGGTGAACATTTACAGCAAGGCGAACATTATCATGGCACTTGGTTCATCTCCTTCTTGTCGAGAGTGATCCTTATTTGAAATATAATAAAGGATGAAATGGTTAAATACATCACTATTTTGCCAATAATAGGTGTTTGTATATAAGTCTAAATGGCAGTCACGCTGCCCAGCCTATTGATTTTACTGTCTAATGGCTGAAAGAGATGTTATCTTGATTAATTAGAAGCCAAAAACAAATGCATCTTAGTTCTGTTAAATCTTCTCACATTTTCTCTCTCTCCCCTTTTTCTGTACTAGTGGTATTGTGTGGTAGACCTGCAGATGCCTATATTGAAATAGGAAATTAACTTCAACATGGTAGGAGCTAGCTTGGTGACTTTATTTCAGCTGTCAGTAAAACTCACCCTGACAATATTATTTAACCCCATAATACTATGGTCCTAGGAAGGATGTAAAATCTTTCCCGACACAATTAACATATAAGGCAGGGATGGCTAAATGTTGTTGGACTCCAATTCCCATCAGCCCAAGCCAATGGTAAGGATGATGGAATTTGTAGTCCAACAATATCTGGAGGCCACAAGTTAGCCACCCCTGATGTAAGGGAAATGTCAGAATGTGAACAGGCATGGAGTGCAGTTTTGTGGCCGACAGGTTGCCAAGGATCTCCAGCCACGGTGCTTTGGAGAAGGGATGTTGACTTATCACCTTATGCTTGTCTGCTCTGTATTTGTTCCCTGTTCTGCTAAGTGGTGCATGCTTGGGAATTGCTGGACATTCAAGTCCTGCTGCCTCTCTGCCACATGCCCACACTTCCATTCCTGTCAAATCAGCTTTGCACTTTGTTTCTATGCCTTGGTGTCAATTCAGCAGAACACAAGCCTGAAGCTGTTCTTTTCATTTATCTTAACTCTCTAGCCCCTGCACCTACCCTTCTGAAATTTTACAGCTTACTTTCCTAGGGGCATCTCTGCAATGTATGCGGCATTCATATTAAAATCATTACACACAAAAACTACAGGGAGGGAAGTCAATCGCTTTTAGTTCTCCCTCACAAAATCTATATTAAAACTGCCTAGCAACAACAACATCAAAATCCACCCTACATCTATCCTTCTGAATTTTGGCAGGTTTCTTGCCAAAGGGCACCTCTATGATATGTACTATTTTCACACAAATTGCCCAGAAGAAAAAAAATAGGGGAGATGAAGTAATCCTTTGTTTAATCACTCACAAATTGCAAAGCCTGCCCTTGCAGAACATCCACTGCAGCTGATCCTTCTGAACTTTGGCAGAAGGGAATACCATGCCTGCACATTTCTCAAAGTCTGCCAGAAAAATAAAGAAACAAAGAAACAAAAAGTTACATGGATACCCCCCCTCTTTTTTGTCAAAACGTGCACCAGCCAATGCTGCAGCTGGCAAGGGATGGAACTCTTCCAGTGGGATTAATCCACTGAGAGGGGGTGCAGAAAAGGGCCTTCTTATGGTGTCCATACTGCGAAACCTCCCCCCCCCAACTTGGGATGGTGTCAACCAAACTGGGCTTCCATCACTAAGTTAACATATATCTGTGGGGGGGCGGACATTCAGAATTCTGTATTTTAGGGTGGAAATACACATAAAATGCATGCAAAATGTGTACAATTTAAGTGCAAAATTCTAATGTGCTTTAAACAATATAGTCCACAAAGCATGGGGCAGAATAGACCTATGATTGCACATATGGGAAACATACACAGAACAGAAATAGGCTAATTTCCCTATTCCCAATTCAAACCAGATTGGTGAAAGGTGTCATAATACTGTCTCCTAATGAGTCGCTCCATTAAGGAAACAAATATCTACCATCTAGGAACGGAGGAAGAATTTGTTCCAGTCCAACGCTTCTGGACTTGCTTATGGGGATCAAATCACAACTTCTCTGAATTTTAGAATGTGACTTTGGTGAACGAAAAGTGCTTGCAAATTGTATATCTTATGGGAAAGGCATTGAAACACTTTGAAATATGCGTGCTTTCATGGAGAAAATGAGTATTTTGGCTAAAACTGTGTACAAAATGCATACCATTTCATTGTGGACTCTTTGGGCGTCGTTTCAAAAAGTCTACACAAAATGGGACAGACCTAGGCTTGAGCACCAGTGAGACTGAAACTGGATCGGATAAAGCTGCTCTTTCCATCCCTACAACCGGCCACTCTGGAATATTTACAAACAGTTTCCTTAACAAAGACTGCTAATGCGACAGCCTTTAATACCAGCTTCACTGAAGCACTGTATTCAAAGGTAATGTACTAATTGTGAGAGAGGGGTGATGCTGTCCTACTTCGCTGCAGACTTCTTGGAAGTTCCTTGGTAGAACAGGATGCTTGACTTTACACACTTTGATCTGATCCACCCAGGGTCTTCATTTGTCCATTTGGGCTAGGTGGTGTGTATCAAAAGAAATCTACAGTGGTGCCTCGCAAGACGAAAATAATCCGTTCCGCGAGTCTCTTCGTCTAGCGGTTTTTTCGTTTTGCGAAGCAACCCTATTAGCGGATAAGCAACCCTATTAGCGGATTAGCGCTATTAGCGGTTTAACGGCTATTAAAGGCTTAGCGGCTTAGCGGCTAAAAGGCTATTAGCGGCTTAGAAAAGGGGGGGGAGCGGAAAAAAATCGCAAGACTCGCAAGACGTTTTCGTCTTGCAAAGCAAGCCCATAGGGAAAATCGTCTTGCGAAGCAACTCAAAAACGGAAAACCCTTTCATCTAGCGGGTTTTTCGTCTTGCGAGGCATTCGTCTTGCGGGGCACCACCGTACAGTGATTTTGTGTAATAACATATCCAGCAATTGCTTCTCCTTGCCAAGTACTGAGACTTTCAATAGCAGCCATCCCTGAGAGCCCATTGCTGCATATCTGCAAAGCTGCCTATTCTTTTGCCCTTAAACTGAACATTTTGCTCAAAATGTTAATTCTGCCAAGTGTGGGGGACACTCCTCCCATGTTGTGTGTGTTTTGTACACCAAATTGTTCCACGTTAGTGTATGGGCAGGAGGGAGGGTGTCCAGAAATGTTAAGGAATTCATGTGTAGCCGAGTTCTGCACATCAGTTTTGAATGCAGCACATAACAAAGGTCAGAGATAGCCTGGCGCTGTGTTTTGTGTGGTGCATCTGTTCTATGAGAAAATGTGCCCAAGTTTCTTTTTAAAAAAACAAAAACAAAACAAAAACATTGCTGTAAAAGCCTGGTTACTGCTGAATATATTTCTAAATGACAAGGTTTATTTGGCTGCCTTTTGATATGTTTAGGGGAAACTTGGGCTGACAGTTAGAGGAGGCAGGAAGAGGGGACCGCAGCAACTTCCACCCAAACAGAAAATGTCAGCTCTTCCCTCGCAAGGATGCAGAAGCATCCTGATGAAAAAAAGAGCAGACGTTTAAAAGTTTCTGACATGTGTCACGAACGCAGCCATTGAGCCAGTCCTGCTGATGTGGCTCAAGATGACAGCATCCGAGCCACTGAAGCTGGCTGCGGGACATTCAAAGTTTGGTGTGTGTCACATCGAATCCTTGTCATGTCACACTGGAAAGATAAGGGGGGGGGAGGGAGAGAAGACAAATGGACGCAGGCAACAGCAATAGTTCAGAAACTTAAAACAACACGCTCCCCACTCGTCTAATTGATATTATGAAGCAGCCATAACATTGGACCAGCCACCCAACGTCTGAGTTCATAGAAGGTCAGGGTGGATTTTTCTTTTCGGATTAATTCCTGCAAGACACAGACAGTAATTTGTCAAGTTCTTGACCCAAGCACATCTCCTCTGCATTCCAGAAAGGATATTTTCAAGCAAGAGATGGTCCTTGATGTTAGTCACTGAGCCATTGCCCCAGCTGCTCCCGAGGTGTCTCTAAGGAAACCACATGTGTTCACTCCAGATGGTCACCTGACCCCTAGTGACCTAGACTGGATGTCAGTCATACAAAGGATTTGGATTGTTTTGTTTGAGTATCTTCTCTTCCTCCACAGGAGTTGTGATCAGGATGCAGCCTTAATACTTGGGAACTTTTGTTGCAATTGGTGGGAGGGGCCTGTCCTTCCCCAGAGCTGACTTTGTGCCCAGATTTATAAACAGTAGCTGTGAGAGACCAGTGGAAGCCAACTCTTAGGGGTTGAGGTCCCTTCGCCCCTCCATAAAATATTTGAGGGGCTCAGGACCCCTACAAGGCTGCTGGGCGTTGCCATTCAAATGGGGTGTGTGTTATGCAGGGCAGGGCTTACTCCCCCCCCCATATTTTATTAAAGTTGGCACCCCGCTTAGGACCGAAGAGCAGGGTGTGATTTGCAAACAACAACACACCAATTGGGGATCCCAGAAAAGCACAGATGGAAGTGAGAGTGCCTGTCAGAGACCCCAAAAGGCGGCCATTGCTATGAAAATGGGGTGAAGAGTGAGGGTAATATAGATCTGCATCATACTCTAATGATCTGCAGAGCTAAACGAAGGGGAAAGAGCGGAACATGGGACCAAAAAGTATCAAGGGATCACAAGGGTCATCTAGTCCAACCCCCCTGCAATGCAGGAATCTTTTTGCCCAATGTGGGGCTCAAACCGTGACCCTGAGATTTAGAGTCTCATGCTCAACCAGCTGGGCTATCCAGTTGCTTGAGGAGACTTGGAAGAAGCAGAGAGGTATGAATCTGAAATTAGGAATAGTGGTAAAATGCCTGATGCAGAATAGAAATGCATAGAAATGCAACAATCTACAAGTAATGCAAAGGTGTGCATGTACTGCAGCTTCTGGCTCTGATGAAACATTTCCAGTTTCCAACAGGTTAGGCCATGTGCTGAGAGAAATGTAGCTAGAGAAGGGGAGCCTGAAAAAAAAAAAGTTTGGCAGGAGAAGGTTCATGTGAAGCAAACGTTGTGTGTTCTTTTTGCTGTGCCAACATCATGACAGTACTTTATAGAAAATAATTTTGTATGCCATAAACATATCTAAATAGCTCCCTCCCCAATAAATTGCTTTCATTGCACATATTACTGAAAAGCCCCAATTCAGAAGAGGTGATGGGGTATCCAAAGAATTATAGTTAATAGTTATTCACTTGTCATTGATTTCTGCGATTGAGGGTGTGCTCTCTGTCTACCTTCCAGTTTAATATGAGCAGCACATTTTTTTTTTAATCTAATGGCCTTGGAGGTGAAATTCTGTGGATTTAATTTTAGCATTTTCCAAATACAATCAGACTGTGATAATGTGACTCCTCTGGCAAGTGGCATTTTTACAAAAATCCCTCTTATTAAAAAGTCAGTAGCACCTACAGGCTATGAGGCTGGTTTCCACTTAAATCATTTGGCTACCTAGACAGAGTGATAAATCAAGCACAAGGCAGGGGCTTACAGATTTGCCTCATATGTGCTAAGCCAAGCTTTGAGAGAGGGGCACAGGGACATGACAGTGGGATGGTGTAAATGGGGAGAGAGTGTGTACAGAAAACAGAAATCTTCCCTCTCAAACACAGATAAATGTTTTAGTTTGTTCCTTTTCTTTCCTTATTTGCTGCTTGAACATTTTGACTAGCACAGTTAAAGACACAGCCCCGCTCCCAGCCTTAAATGTGTTGCCATTTAGCAGAGGAGACCCTGAAGGAAAATTATTTTCAGATCCAAGAGAATGGGAATTGTTCATGATAAAAGCTTTGGGGATTATTATTTAAGCAAGGAACGCAAGTATTTCCCCCTTCCCAAACTAAGTGCAGGCTTTGTTTCATTTGCACCCGGTATCCTGTCCCTAATTCTGTGTTACAAGTAGACTTATTTTGGGATCTGACCCCAACCTAATGAAGTCAGCTTCCTGCAAGCCAAGCATCCAGCTGCTCCTAAACAGTGGACTAGGAAACAGTGCTAAATTCCATCTCAAATAAAATGTAATCTGGGATGGATTCCTCAGATTTGTGGGATTGACTTCCATATCAAAGGCTGGGTGAATCCACTGGTTGCTGGTGAGTTATGTGGCCTGCCTAGTAATAATAAGCAAGGCAAGTCATGGAGCAGCTTAGAGATGTCTCCATGTCATGCTAGGCCTCATCAGCCATGGACTTTAGCATTCATTGTGGTGCCAGATTAGCAATGTCATTACCAACCCAGTCCCTTTGAGTGGTATGCCTAGAGAGTCTCCTGTGGCCTAGGAGTAGCCCTCAGCTGCTGCACGCACAGATGCCCCCCAGTACTGATCGTATCATTGCTTCTCAGGTAGGGTTGCCATATGTCCAGAATTTCCCGGACATATCCGGAATACTGCAGCTGCAAGCAGTGTCCAGGCGGAAATTGGTGAAAT